ACACACACACACACACACACACACACACACACACACACACACACACACACACACACACACACACACACACACACACAGTGGACCAGGTCAATCAGCACTTTCAAGCTGACCCCTTATATGTCCCTGAACTCAGTAGTCTAGGTCGAGCAGCGCTTCCAAGCTGCCACCGTCGTATGTCCCAGGTTCAGCCCGTCCCTATCCCCACTGTCACGTTACAATTGTTCTAGTAGTAACCCTCTGGATGAGCAAACCCCACCGGATTTTTGGCCGCTACAGGGATCTTTAGCTTAGGTAAGAGGAGTGTTGCTGCAGAGTAAATGGAGAAACTAAAATCACAAAAGAGTAAAATTCAGAGAGAGAGAGGGAGGGAAGCAACCAGCTTAACCATAAAAGTTATTTATTGACTAATAGTGATAATTACACAAGGAGAGCCTAAACAAACGTAACAGTTACATTATTAAAGGTTACAAAAGTCATATATAGAAAACTAGATCTGATCAAACAAGTTGGGGTTAGGAAGTCATACCCGAGGTAGAAAATAAAAGAGAGAGAGAGCTGGGATCTCACCACTTCCATGAAGCTTGAACTGGTCGGGGTTCCCAGGTGATGGTGGTCGCTCAGGGTCCTGAGTGCAGGAGACAGGCAGAGCCCCCAGCATGATCAGTCAGGAGAAGATGAAATCCCAGTGAGACTGATGCAGAGTTTGGATCCAGGCATCAGAACACACTTGAGCATGGGTAAGGGTTTCTTGCAGGGAAACAACCATGGTTCAAGGGAGACACTAGATTTGTTTATGGGTAAACTGAGGACTCAAGGGTTTTCTCTAGGTTAGACAATAGGGGCTGATCACTCCTAGCTATGGATGGTGTTCCTTCCAGGGAGCTCACAATGCAATTAGGCAGCTTCAGTATTTTGGATACCAATCAAGGATTCATTACTAGAATTGGTCTGATAACTGCTGAGCTGGGTGTGTGCAGGCGTGGGTTCATTAACATCTGGAGCAGAAATCCCCCATGATGCAGTGCTTCCCTGCTTTTCTGGTCCCAGAGTTCAGTGCAGTTCTTGCCTTGGAATCTCTGTTTCCCGTTCTCTATGCTGATGGAGATGCCTCCCTGACCCATCTTTAATGCAGATGAGGCCAGGGGAGTTGCCTTAACCCTGTCATCCTTGTCAGGAGGGGTCTAGGTGTGTATCCCACCACCCTTCACTGCTCTCTGCAAGTCTTTTCTCGGATCGGTTTTGGTTCAAGCAGAGGCTGGAGGGGATGTCTTTCATGAGTCAGACAGGCTGGATATTGTGCCCTGGTTCCCCAAGAACACAAAGCTGACTGGTATCAAGTCCTCTGGCGACAGTGCTAAAGGAGGAGTTGAGTAAGCCAGATACTTTCATCTTAGGAAATAAGCAGTTCGATGTTGCAGAGTGGGAGAGTGAATGAGATTCCTCGTAGATAAAAAAGGTTATGTCTAATATGTCTAATGTGCATGTACAAGGTAAAGAAAACCTTTACTACTCCTAACCTGTAAGTGGTGGGAGCAAGCAAGGTAATGCCTTTAGGACAAGATCAAGCATTCAGTACTTGTTACTTGCATGTTTGTATTCGACATACCTTCTTAGTTTAACTAATCCGTTGTGCATTATTATTCCATAAATAGGTCTTAAGTTAGTTGCAACTCCAGATTTAGCGAATACAAGAAAGGAAGCAGGTAACATATAATCTTTCTCCTTTATGCAGGAATCATTATTTTAAGGAAGTGTTGAAGCTTCTTCAACGTGTAGCAAACTTTGTTACCCACAAGATAAATCGTGCTTATCATTATAGGTCCTAATTCATCAATGTAAAATGTGGAATTAATCTAATTACAGGTTTGCCTTCATATTTCCTGAAAAATATTAGCACCTGCTTTAATTCTTTTTTTCCCCCACCCATTTCTGTTTTAATCTAGGATCTAAAGATTCAAGACAAGCAGGCTCCTGACCTAATCATCACACTTAGGTTATAGGCAAATCAAGGCTATATACCTAAACCTCCTCTGCAGCCGTCTTGAGGTCCTAATAGTTTGTTCAGAGAGGCAGACTCACAAGCTCCAGTGTTTGTACAATGTGAAGGAAGCAAAAAAAAAAAAAGACGTTGTTGTAAACCTCCAAATGATAAACTCTTAATGCTGGAGTAACTGTGGTCTGGAGGCAATGGTAGCAGCCCAATATAAGGACTCTCTTTGTTGCTCTGGTGCAAGGACACTCTTTGGTACATTGGTGCCTTCCTTGAAGCCATATGATCTCATCCCCAGTATATCGAACTTGGGGAAAATTAATAATCAAAACATAAACAGTATTAAGTTTATTGCCTGAACTCATAACATCAATGTATATATATGTATTAAAACACAATATGTATGAAAACTGAACATATGGTAAAAAGGTATACCAGGTAGAGGTGTAACCCTCAGCTAAGAAATGTAACCATGTCACCTGTAGTAACCTGGAAAAAGACCCATCCTCTCATCAATAACTCCAGGGTGGGAGGTGGCTACACTTATATCAAAGGCATAATGAAACCCATGTGTCATATATCAATTTCTGCATACAGTATACACATATAGCACAATTATGGGTTGAAAAAGCCCCACATTTAATCTCTCTCTCTCTATATATACATAGTTGCAAAATAGTGGCATTAAAGTTGTTTTTTAAATATAAAACAGGAAGAGCCACTTGCTCTAATCCTTATTGAGAAATGCCCCTGTTCTCTACTGAGGGCAGCTCAGATACGGGGTCTGTGACACTACACCCTAATTAAGACTCTTATTTAACTAAGATTACATTATGGTACCCCCTTAACTGGGTCCAATCCAGATGGGGATGTATTTGGCAGCTCCACTCAGTAGGTCACTTTAAAGATAATGTCTACAACTATCACAGCGATGTACCTCCTCTGGTAGTATACCTCCCAACATGGGAAATCCCACTGATGGCCTGGTGTTCTAACAAGGGGAGCAGTACATCAGCGTAAAAGTAATGTTTGAGGTGAACACACCATGTGTGGCCAGAAGGAAGGTACCAACGGGATCTGTCATCATCTTCATTGTTGGTAACCTACCTGGTTAACCAAGTATATATAGGGTGACATGTATCGGGAGTATGGCAATGACCAAATAACAAAATATTTTTACTGTCAACTGGAGTGAAAGGTCACATTACATTTTGATACACCCCACAGGCACTTATACCCACATCTTGATTGGGCAGGTGGTGCTTCCATCAGTCATCTAGTGTATGTAAGGCACAGGCTTTAAACATACAGTCAGGCCCTAATTTATGTGATAGGATTCATTAGCAGTCACCCTATCAAGGGGGGGCCTGTAGCCCAGTGGGCAGCTTACCTCTATTATATTCATTGCTTTGTTATTCTGCTTTATTATATTTAGTAATAATGCAAGGAGCCTACAGGCTTTTATCCTGTGAGATTTGGCTTTAGTAAATAGTGTGAGGCTTGAGGCCTATATTCTTTGGCAGAGATAAATGTAAGTAACTCATCAGTTATAGGGAACTGAAAGTAGCATGCAAGAGGGGAAATTTTGTCCAGCATACCGAAATCAGCCACCCACAAAACATAGCTGACACCAGCATCCGGAAGGTTCTGGACAAAACGTCCAACCGCAAAGGCGCCATGGCAGCAAATTTGACATGTATGTTAATAGGGTAACATCACACATATACTAACCTATAGAAAACAAACACCTTAAGGGGAGGAAATACAGATAAAAACCTCTATTAAATACAGGTCTGTCTCATCTTACGCTGGGGTTACGTTCCGTGGTCAGCGCGTAAAGCGAAAACCGCATATAGTCAAAATTACATTGAGTTCAATGGCGGGCGGAATCGCCCTCACGACAGGTACAGTATTAAAATTGTTATTTTTCTCTTTTTTTGTTTTTGTTTTTGCCGACCGCGTATAGCTGAAATCGCGCATGTTAAATGCGCGTAAGATGCGACAGACCTGTATGCATTGGACATGGCAACGTCAGCGTAACCTAGTATAAAAGTAACATCCCAGGGGCAGCAAGTATAGAGATGTAGACCATGGGAGGGGCCAGAATGATGGCCACTGGGGAAGATGGGGACGGTAATGGTGATGAGAAAGATAATGGTTAACACTCCAGAGTGTGAGTGTGACCGTCCAAATGTACTTTCTGTATTATCTGTATCTGTCTTGTTGAGTTTCAGTGTGTGTATAACTTTGCTAAATTATTAATAAATCATTTATTTGTATATATATATATATATATAAAAGTTCCCATAGTGTGAGTGCTGCACCTGTGCGCATCGGGGTTCCCAAATTATATAATAATTTTACAATAATCTAACTGGGCCTGATCTGGGGACAAAAACCTGTTAATCCTCAAGTTACAATTGTATATACTCAACTTTGAGTCAGGCTACACAGGGTGTCACACCTACCCTTCCCATGTCCTCCTGTTTCTCCTGGATTCAGGGGAGAGGGATGGAGGCCTTTTCTTGATCCTTTGCCTGATGTCTCGAGAGGAGTGGCCAGCTGCCTTGGTCCTCCCACCTCAGCCACCTGCTCTGTTAGGTCCACGCTTTTTCCCACGCTGCATGATTAAGAAGGTTAATGAATGAATGTGAACCACACTGAAGAAGTCAAACAAAAGGCTCAAAGGGTTATCTGTTGCTCTCTTTCAATGACATGGTTCCTTCTTCCTTTCACAGTTGACAGGTGTCAGAATTCGTCTACTTGTCCTGCTTTTGCAATCTGTGAAAATGTCCCTGGGGGCTACAACTGCACCTGCAACCACGGGTTTACATCTAGTTCTGGGGAGGAACACTTCACTGATCCAACATTGAAGTGCGTTGGTAAGTATCGGCTCCGGAGCCCAACTAAGTGAGCGGGAGCTCTGTAATGGGGCGAGTGTAATGGGTGTTGCTGTAATGCCATTGGGACCAGCTCTTGCACTTGCCAGAAGAGTTATGGAGCAGTGTACTCTACTGACTGGTGAGCATGCTGCAGTGATTAAGGGTACGGCTACACTTCCATCGAGCTAGCATGCTAACAATAGAGGGTAGCCAAGCAGGTGCGAGTGGTAGTACCTCTTGGAAACCTGGCAACTCCCACACCTTGAACTGCACAGGTACCAGTCACTACTAGCCGCCTTGAGAAACATTTGGAATATAATCAGGCCGTAATGTCCCCAAAGGTTAACAGTGGTCTGTAAGCCCTCTAGTGGCGCTCACCGTGGTCCATGGTTCAGAAGCTGCCCACAAACCAGTGTGTTTGTAGCTAGGACATTGCACCTCCCTACTGCCAACTCCCATCCTTCATTCCTACTGTGAAATTCCCCAGGGTGCCACCTGAACTGCTGTGTCCGCTTAACTCTCTAGCCTTGGGTTCCTTTTAGGCTACTTTACTGTCAGACCAGCCACTCCTGGCCTGCTCATGCACAGATACTAGCCTGCAAAATCACTCCCAGATGTTTCCATGAATGCTGTCCCAGTCATCCATGAATAGATACAGGGAAACAGCCATATATCCCCATTCCCAGCCTTGACTCCCCAGAAATGTGCGTCTTATACTACTCAGTAGACCCCTGGACAGTATAAGCTCATTGATAGTCTGACATTCCAACAAAGGGTTATGTTTATGCCCCAGCCTTTGTTATCTCAAGTAGAGGTTTCCCAAACACATTGGTTTAGATAAAACAATAAAACATGTTAATTAATGAGAGAGAGAGAGAGATGTGGTGTGACAGACCCAGACCAGTGGGGTACAGGAGTCTGGTAGAGGGCAAATATACTGGTCACTGGATGAATAGTTTTCTGTTCCCTGAGTGACCAGAGCAGGGGCTGCACTAGAGTAATCAGGAACCTGCTAGAACCAGTTAAGGCAGGCAGGCTAATTGGGACACCTGGAGCCAATTAAGAAGAAGCTGCTAGAATCAATTAAGGCAGGCTAATCAGGGCACCTGGGTTTTAAAAGGAGCTCACTTCAGTTTGTGGTGCAAGTGTGAGGAGCTGGGAGCAAGAGGCGCAAGGAGCTGAGAGCGATAGGGTGCGCTTCCAGATGAGTGCGGAGCACAAGCGTTATCAGACACCAGGAGGAAGGTCCTGTGGTGAGAATAAG